CAGGGAAACTACATTGTGACAGTGGAAAAGTGACTCAAGATTCCAAATCAGGACCAATAACATTGCATATTCTTCTTTGCATTTTATCAACAATCTCTAAATACCTAATAGAAATGAGAGAGGGTGTTTATTTTTTATGAAGAAATTTTCTAAACCCACACCAAGCTTATTAAAACCACCCAGTTTATTAACTTTGCACTTTTTGACCCTTTAAATAATTTTCCAACCCACCTTTTATTAAGACATTCCATTTCTTACACAATGAGAAAAATTTTGACCTGCACATTTATTAATGTCCCCTCCTTGTATCGGAATGCTTAAGAGCATTACCAGAGCCTAAATGGATGAAAATCATTTGAAACAAGATGTGTATGTCACACCTGTTAAAACACGTTCCTGTTTTACACATGGGCTTTTCAAATAGATCCCCACACTAGATGATTACAGAGCTACCAACAGCTTGCTCTGCTGACAGGCTAGGTTCATAACCCCAATGCAGTTTCCTCCACACATGAATTCAACTATCAGCCAAAAAGAGCTGGTGACATGGCATTTAATTTTCCATAATCCCTGAGCAATGTGCTCTAGCCCATCAAGGATTGATAACTGGAGTGGGAAAGAAGGGAGTTGTACAATAGGCACTGTGACTAGAAATAAATTTTTTTTATATATATTATTATAGGGTAAGTATTCCAAACCCTGAATATCAAATTTTTTATTTAATTTTATAAAATTCAATAAGGAGATACAGTTTGTTATGTAAACTGATCCCCCAACAAAAGCCAAAACAAGATATGCTCATACAACAAAATTTATTTTCCTGGTTGCTTAATCGATACTAGTATATGAAAAAAAAAAATACTACTCCAGACTATAATTGTTTTTTTTTAATTTAAAAAAAACAAATCATATGTTGTTTCTGTAGGGAGAGGGATCAATTTACAAATAATTTACAAACTAAATTGAACACCCACCATTAACTTGCATTAAATTTTAAAAAAATACTTCTTTTTTTTTACATTTATGATCTTGAGTTCTTAATCTATAGTAATATGAACGAGAGAAATTAGAAAAAGAATGATTGTTTTTGGTTGTATTGCTGATCATACATCACTCAATAGCCTAATGGTGTGATATCATACTATCATTATTTGACAAATAAGAAACTCCATAGAATGCAGTGTGTGCTGTGTCATGAAACACAAATGTTAAATTGGGTCATGATTTAATGCAATGTTCCTCTTCCCCAAGTGGCTACCATCCTTGACAGTCCTGTTCTGGCTTTACTTATTAATGCCCATAGTTACCCCACTATGACAAATGATGTCTGTTTGGAATTTACTTATTTTAGATAGACACTTATTAACCCACAGCACTTGCCACCTTGGAGATAGTGTCCCCCATCTTCTGACCCCAATAATCATTCTGCAGTCCAGTCCAAATCTGATTACTACCACAGCTACACTACCTTTTTACCTGTTGCATCATATAATATCTGTCTGGGTTTATTTCGACAAATGATGGTCATCAAAACCAGTTAGTGTATGACATTTTTTATATTTTTGGCACTTCAGTTTATATATTTTTATTATTATAAGCAATATATTTTAGTGGATACACATATTTGAAAAATGGAAAGAACCTCTTTTTAAAAGTGAAATTAATGCCCGCCAGCCCAGACATAGAAAGTATTATAAAGGAAAAATGTACCAATTGAACCTCAAAATACATATAGATTATACACCTGAAGAAGGCTGTAGAATTGATCAATCAAAATATTATAGTAACAACAAAAGTAACCCAAAGAATGAGTTCAATAATCCAAACAACTCTTGGAATGATAATGTCTCTTCTCAAAATTATAGAAGGCTTCTTCCACATGGATTGTAATCCTGAAGAAGGCTGTAGAATGGAACAGCCAATAGCTCATCCCTAAATCAAAGTCTTACTTTATTTCTTTTCTGTCAGATTTTTTTGATCTCATTTTTCAGTTGAATGAAATCAAAAGAAATTAGTTGCATCCCTTTTCTGCTATTGAAGAAGTCAAGCCAAATGAATCCTGAACATCTGAGTCAGCTATCCAGGCAAATCAGAATATAAACTCTTCAAATGCTTATTATTGTCAAGTGGCCACACCTATCTTAGTGGTTGGGATCTTCTTCTATATGCCACATCTCTTCAGGATATAGGCAATTGTGGCTCGTCATAACTTGTGGCTCTAGGCAGCCTTTTCTTCCTTTGATAAGTCTCCCACTCCCCCTTCTACCATCCATTCACATCATCTCATCACATAAGTGACTTGCTGCCTTCTTCTTTCTCTTTTACACAAAATATATTCTGTGGGGGTTAGGTCTTTCAAGCCCTCTTATATGACCATTCTGTTGTCATTTTCTTTAAGACTCCCTTGTTGCTTACTCACTCCATCCATGGAATTTTCAGTATCCTTCTGTAGAACGACATTTCTGCTGCCTCTAGTTTTTATCTCATCTGTGGGGAGTTTGTCCAATACACATAAAGATCAATGGTAAAACACCACTGAATTGGTCTGTGGGAATAGTTTGCTAACTCTCAAGCTATTATTGAGACTATTCTTTACCAATCCTTCCTTATCCTTGCTGTATTTGCATGTAATAAACCATTGGTTAGATTAATTAAAAAAAATAATCTAAATATTAGTCTAAATCAAGAAGATACTATCTTATAATTCTTTTTAAATCAAATGAGGTGCCGGGTCATTAACAGTGATTTACTGTGTAAATTATATATAGCACAAGGCCACAAGTATAGAGCACCCAGTGAGGATCAAACTAACTACTCATTCATAATCAGAGTAAAACAAGCTTGCTAACCCTTACACCATGTTGAAGTTCCAATGCTGAACCATCAATACCATAAATATTGAAAATATACTATGTATTCCCCAACTTCTGCCTGACAACATCTGGTACACTTGCTGGTCTGTATATAAAATACTCTAGATGCAATATGAATTCATATTGACCCTACATAAATATTTCATGTCTATTTAGTCCCCCAGATGAACAATTCTCTATGATCACAATACACTTACTTATCTCATTAGATTTTAATGACTGGCAGCCATTTGGGGAAGAAGAAAGCAAGTTCCACAGTTAAATCAATCAAGAAGAGCTTAGAGCATCATGGGAAGACAGTTCAAGTCACCAAGTTAACACATGACTGATCTATGAGCGCATATTATTGGCATCTGAGTGACCAACAGTCAATTTCATTCACATAGTTTTATATCTACAGATCAGACACTCCCCAGCCTAAAGCCATACCTCAAAAGACTCGACATTAACAATTGTATGCTTGCAAACAGATACTAAAGCATTTTACAACCATCTCGACAACAAAAAGAGGAGGAATGAGAGACCAAAGCAAGTAATTTTGTTGTTTTGATAGAAATCTGCAAATTCTCTTTACAGAAAGGACACAAGAATGTTTCAAAGACTCAGATTAATGCAGATTTCACACTTGGATGAAGGTGGCTGAAACATTTTACTCAAGAGAGAATAAAGGCCTTAGAAAGACTTTATTAATAGGCCACAGAGAGACAATTTAATACAGTTTTATTTTTTTAAACAGAGCAAAATTTCGCACTTGAATGAAGACGGGTGAAACATTTCACTCAAGAGATAGACCAAAGTCTTTTGAAGGACTTTATAAATGGGCCATAGTGAGACAATTTAATAAACTTTTTTTTTTAAACAGGGTGAAATTTCACACTTAAATGAAGACAACTTATTGGAAATCATTTTACTATGAAAATGCACTGAAAATTATCACAAATAGCAAACAAGTATATCAAAACCTAGAACCTAGAATACAATGACTGCATTCCCAGTTGAGGAGTAGAACCCTCCCCAAAAGAGGATACCATCTGGGTGAATATTTTCAAATTCAAGTATAAACACTGCCAATATTTACCTATAGACTCAAGTATATACCGATGTTTACCTATAGGCTCAAGTATAAACCTGACCAATGTTTACCTATGGACTCAAGTATAACATAGATTGTCATTTATTAAGGACAAAGACATGCATTAACACTCATGGGGTGCACTAAAAACAAGAAAAGCAACAGCTAACCTACTTGATATATATAAGCAAATGGGCAAAGGGACAAGTATGGCAAAGTTAAAGGAAAGTCATAAAGGAGGAGCAAGAATTTCCAAGAAAAACAAAGGATAGGAAGCTGTGGAGAACCATGATCGTTCATGTTGTGAAGGATCATAGTTCATAGAAAGAGAGAGAACCTACTTGAAAATATAAGCAAATGAATGGAATAACAAGTACCACAAAATAGAGATTGAGAGCAACAAAAGGAAGATGTGGAAAGCCATGATCACTCGTTTTGAGAGGACATGGCATAGAGATAAAAAGAGAACCTACTTTACATGTTTGAACAAATTGATTGAGGAAATGAGCACAAAAACAAAGGGAAGTTGTAAAGGAGCAAGTATTGCTAAGAGAAACTGTGGAAAACCATAACTGCACATATCCTGACAAGACATAGCACATAGAAAGATAAAGGGAAATAGAGAAACAGAACATATTTGACAAGTATAAGTAAAGGGATAGAAAAGCAAGTAATATTGACAGCAGCCAAGAGCAAGAAGCTGTGGAGAGCCATGTTTTTTCATATCCTGATACATTGAGAAATTACTGATAGAATATGACTATTATATATGTCTAATCTGAGATTTAGATTTTGGTTAAAAGAGATAGGTATGACCAGCTTTTCTCTTGTCACTGTCAAGGGCATTGAACTTTGCAAGACTGCTACTAATGTTAATGGAGGTGTGAGCACCCAAATAAAAAGCACTTGCCAAGAATTGACCATCTTAAGTTTACTGAAAGATTAGCAGTAAATTACTTATATCTGATGAATGTGGAAAAACTTGTTGGACACCAAATAAGTCGTCAGTCAGATGATACCAGGCAGGCAGGAAGACAGGCATTGATCAGTTAGACTCAGAGAGAGAGAGAGAGAGAGAGAGAGAGAGAGAAAGAAAGAAAGAAAAAAGGCAAGGAGAAATGCAGAGAAAAAAACAGAAAGAAAGTGAAAAATAAAAGCAAAGACAAAAAGAATAAAAAAGAAGAGAAAAAAAAGAGAAAATGAAAAATAGAAAGATGAAAGAAAAAAGACAACAAAAATGAGTAAAAGAAATCATAAAAGGAAAGAGAAAAAGAAAGAAAACAACAAGAAAAAAGAGAAAGCAAAAACAGAAAAAGGAAAGAGAAAATAAAGCATAAAAGCAGAGCAAAGAAAAAGAAAACAAACACAAAACAAAACAAAGAAGAAAAAAAAAGAAAGAAAGAGAAACAGGAACTGAAAACAAAAAAAAACAAAACAATGAGATCCAAAAAAAGAAGAAAGAATTAATATGATTGGTCAAATTAATTGCCTTAATTCTAAACTGAAATAAACAAACTGAAAAAGAGGGAAGAAGAATTAATTTAATCAAAGATCCAGATGAGACCTACCACACCCGGCTACCTACTCAGTTGCTGATTCTGCCATCCCACCCCAACCACACACCTATATCACTAATTTTTTTATTACTTTTATTGTACTTTTATTTATTATTTTTTTTTAAATAATGTGTATTGTTTATTTTATTTCTTATAAGATTCATTTCATTTCTAATTTGGGGCAAATAAGTTTTCAGAAAATGAAAATTACTTTTTTGCTTTGTTGTTTATTATGTTCAGAAATCAAATGAAACATTTGGGATTTGGCATTGATTATTGGTAAATATCTATATTTATTGATTTTTGATTACCAGGTCATATTTTCAGGTTTACTCAGTCATGCACACTATCATTACTTACCCACACACACATTCATTTATGCGGGCTTGGTTGAAAACAAACAAAACTTCTTTGTTTAAGATTTATTTATTTTATTTATTTATTTTTTTATCACAAATAGCAAACAAATACATAAAAACTTATTATCTGCTCTGTCAGTAGAACCTAGAATACAATGACTGCATTCCCAGTTGAGGAGTAGAACCCTCCCCAAAAGAGGATACCATCTGGGTGAATATTTTCAAACTCAAGTATAAACACTGCCAATATTTACCTATAGACTCAAGTATATACCGATGTTTACCTATAGGCTCAAGTATAAACCTGGCCAATGTTTATCTATGGACTCAAGTATAACATAAATTGTCATTTATTAAGGACAAAGACATGCATTAACACTCATGGGGTGCACTAAAAACAAGAAAAGCAACAGCTAACCTACTTGATATATATAAGCAAATGGGCAAAAGGACAAGTATGGCAAAGTTAAAGGAAAGTCATAAAGGAGGAGCAAGAATTTCCAAGAAAAGAAAAGGATAGGAAGCTGTGGAGAACCATGATCGTTCATGTTGTGAAGGATCATGGTTCATAGAAAGAGAGAGAACCTACTTGAAAATATAAGCAAATGAATGGAATAACAAGTACCACAAAATGGAGATTGAGATTGTTTCTGGGAAGAATTTGGGCATAAATTGTCCAATATCTTCCATGTGCTTTCAGTTTACAAAAGCCATTATCAAAGAATTTGGGGGGGATTGATAAGTTTGTTTCTCCAAGCATGCTTTGTAATTCTTTTATTTTTTTCCGTGTTGTGTCTTCAGACATTTCTTTCTATGTCCGTTTTATGATGTCATGTTTTGTTTTCTTTTATTGTAAAATATATTTATTATGTTTGTTCCTAAACAGAATAAAATTTCATTGATATTGGATTGCATGTTTTTTATTTTATTTAATTTTACTGGATGTTCTAAGATTCATTTTATTAGCCAAGATACTGAAACCCCAAGAAACATTGTAATCAAAGAGTAGAATAACAGAAAGTGTCCAAAATTCTCAAAGACAAATGTTTTGAATAAAATTTGAAAGTATTGTCATTGTAAGAACAATTAATTTATAAAGACAACATTTATGTCAAATTTTAAAACTAGTTTTAAATATTGTTCATCAATAGATTTTATGAGCTTGTGTAGTTCTTCTTATGAAACATATAGTATAGCATTCAGAACATTATTCAAAAATTCATTTTTTCTGTCTGTCAATGTAAACCTTCCTCTTTGGAATGCTCTACAAATTTTCAATCAGGTTATAGTCAGGCAATCAAGCTGACCATTTTATCAAGAGTGTCATTGAAATTCATTTTACACATATATTCATTAGCTTCCTTAGGCAAATGTGATGGAGAATTGTCTTACATGAAAAATTGTCTTTTTCTGAAAATTTAACTTCTTGGACCATAGCACTACATGTGCCTTTAAAAAAAGAACAAAAAAACTACGACAGATATGGGAGATACAATAACATTATTGTATAGAGCAAGTTTTCAGCTGCAAAATGCTATTTTAACAAATTTTCACCAGTGATGAACCTTTATATCCAACTCATAAAAGTCTGCAGCAGCAGAGGCAGCCTACTTTTTCACTGAAACACATTACAGATCTCTGCTTACATTCACCATTTGGTTTCTATAAATGTACAGTAAGTGTCAATGAAAGTTAATGTGTGCAGTCTTTTTCCACATGTAAAAATTCAATGACACAATTCTGCTTTGGGTACACTTTTCATGTCAGATACCATTTTGCCAAATTACTATCTGTAATAAGTTGAAAATAACTGGTGGGAAGGATTAACTTCTACTAGCATGCTGCCAACGTCTGCACTGGACATCATGAGCCAACATAATAAAATAAGAGGCATTAATTTTGGAGCAACTATTGTGTTGTATATAAAATGTTCTTTTAGGCATCACTTTTTACATGATTTATTAAAAAAACATCAGAGGTATTATTTTGATTTTCAGTTAAATTTTTAATAAAAATCAATTAAATGAAAATCTTTACTATATTTAATTAAATACACACACACATACAAGGAAGATTACGTTTCAGCAAAAATCAGTCGATCAGGATAATTCTGGAAGATAATGTATTCAAGGCAAGCAGTCTTTGTAATAACATTGCCCAATATCAAGAGAGAGTATTAATAAGAAATAAACTTGTTCAAGTGTTTCACCATCAAGTCTCCTGAAGAGAAGATGTAATTCCATGAAAGTCAGAGTAGAGATATTTAACAGAGAAGTGAAGAAATTCATTTATATATATAATTATTTATTTAAAAAAAAAAAAATTATAACATAAATATGTTATAAGATCACTACAAAAATAGCCATTTTGTTTCAACACCCCCGGTGTCTTATCAAGTGATGATGTTGAATCATCACTTGATAAGACACCGGGGGGTGTTGAAACAAAATGGCTATATTTGTAGTGATTTTATAACATATTTATGTTATAATTTTTTTCTTTTTTTTTAAATAAATAATTATATCTACATTACTTTGTATTGAGCACTCTTTTAAGAATAGTAATTGTTGGTTATTGGAATTCATTCCGTATACACCAATCATATACTTGGGGGTATATATATATATATATATATATATATATATACACATACATAGATTTTTTTTATTTGTATGAAACACTGACTCTAATGTATCCCATTACTAGTCATTCTGGCTGCCATAACGTCATTTACATGATTCAATAGAAAAGAGTTTTGAGAATGATGCTGTGTAAGTCTCCCTCACACACACACCCTCATCCAATGCCTATTTCATATTATGTAAAAAAAGAAATCAAACAAACTATTTCATTGAAGTAAAAAGTAACATCAAAAGTTGTTGATTTGTAAACCTTCTTCCAATTTGCAGAAATAAACCCACATCTCATATCTATTAAGAGTTGAATGTTTTATAATCACCACAGTTTTTAACATAGGAGCTACAAAAGCAAGATATGCCTTACCGTTAAATTGTTTGTGGTTCTCCAAGGCAGCATCTCGTCTATCACAGTTCGTACTAATCACCGGGCTTTCTGCTGTGAAAAAGACAAGAAAAAAACTATTAAAATAATATTTAAGATGAAATATAAAACCACTACTCATTGTTAAACAAAATGTACAGAAACACCTTCAGGATTATTTCCAAAGAGGTGCATTTTATTGACAACAAGAACTTTCAAATTTTGTTTGGTACCTTCAATAAAAATATAAAAATAACCATGTGTCCCTCATCATAGCACAGTTTATTGATTGCATTAAGGTAAGTCATAAATAATTTCTGTTTTTGTCTATCAATTTTATTCTTCAAAATATAAATTTGAATAAACCTAATAAATCTCGTAATGAGTCCTTGTGCCGTACTAAATTAAATACACTCAATCTTCTTTTGTTTTTTGCCCATCAAAATTGAAAAGCAGCAAAAAGAGAAATGATTTACTGTTAACTTATGAGGATACCGCAACATGGAAAAATGGTTAGCAGCCTAGTCTTGTAAACCATTGCTATTCAAGTATGTTCAATTCTTACAAGATGCTATACACGTTACTTTGTGCTAGAAAAGTTAAAGTTAAAATTAAAAAATGAAACCAAAATAAAATAAGACTTCTTTTGACATTAATCTAACAGAAGTTGACAGGATGTAAAAATCAACATACCTAAACTGACAAATAAACTTGCACCAAACTTGGCTAAAATCAAACACTTCCTACACACACAAATTAATCATGATCATAAGTCCCATAACTCATTAAGGCTATAGGGGCACCTTGTGGGTGAAAGATAGCCATAAGGTAGTGATTCTCAAACAGGAGGAGGCAATTGGCCCCCTGGAAAGAATTTCAAATCTAAAGCAAGGGATTTTCACTTGGAGAGGAACTGAGGAGTAACTTCAGCCATAAGTATAATAGTTAAAAAAAATGACAACATGACAATTCAAAATAGGAAAATAATTGATGAATCTTAGAGTTATAACATGAAGAATGTGACATGGGACTTTGACAACCACTACTATTAAGGTGACATTCATGACCATGAGTCCCATAGCATAAGGGCACCACATGTACTACAGCTGTAGCTAGAGTTGATGTGTCAAGGAAAAGACAGCCTGAGAGAGCCCATTGATCTTCAGGCTGGTTTTGAATTCAAAGTTGTCTTTCTCTTAGACTGATTGACCTACTAAGACTAAAACGGTCAGTCTATCGTACTATTTAACCCATAGCTGAATGAATATAGACTCATTCCTTTTCCGATGGTATTATTGCTAAGTGAACAAAAGACTCAATCAAATTTTTAACTCAGTAAGTAGATTCTATTTTTTTATGCCAATAACCATTACTCTACCTGCATGTACACCACACATACAAACAATTAAAATATATGTGTCTGATATAGACTGCTGATGATCAAGCTTTATATAGTGTAGTTCTATCATGATTGGGTACTCATTAATGTAGCCTAATGTCAAACTAATTTTAGCTTAATTAAGATTTACAAAGAAATGACAAGAAGAAGATACAGGCAAAGGGTTAGAAATGAGCAGGGATATGAGATAATGGATGATCTTAATTGCATTAGAAGGGGTTAGGGACATTAACTAAAACCCAACAGTCTTAGCTTGATGGAATCCACACTCAGATGCTGAGAGCTATAACATCTCTTGGAGACAACATCCAACTAAATTGCAGCTCTATGGACCCATCCCTGACATTCTTACAATCAAGTGTTCAGTTCATGATATTCTTAACATTAAGTCTCATAGAGAGCCTCAAGGAGGATTCTGCTTCAGCAATCACCGTTTTGAAAAAACAATATTCAGAACTCTGGCTTATACTTTATAATTTTGTGTGTGAGTGTCAGATATATTTCTAGATATACATGTACTTTATATTAAAAACAACTTCACCAAAGTTCCCTCTTATGATAGCAATATTACTGAACATTACTTCTGTAGTGAGTTTGTTCTTCATTGGGTGCACTAAATGTGGCCTTGTGTCATACTTACACAATAACCAAACAAATATAGCTCAACATAAAATAATGCTGAGCAGCAAACTCATCACACAGACCATTACTATTGTAGGGAGTTCAATCCTCACAATGTGCTCCATACTTGTGGCCTTGTGTCACACAAAGAAATAACTAGGAATCCTCATTGGAGTAATGTTAGCAAGCTGATCTCACAGATCATTACTTTTGTTAAATTCTCACTGAGTTTCCAAAACTTGTGACCTTGTGTTAAATGGGTTAAAAAATCAGAGTGAGAGAGAAAATGAATGAAAAGTGTGTTGAAGGCAGAGAGGACAAGTGAAAAGGAAAGTAAAAATAAAACTAGGGGAGAGTGAAAGAAAAAAAACTAAGAAAGAGGGAAAGAAAGAAAAACTATTTAACCAAATGAAAAGAATAAAATACTCTTATACAGTGAAAGAAAGAGAAAATGAAGTAGAGGAAATAGAAAAAAAAAATTAAGAGATTCAAGAGAAAAAAAGAAAAAATTTAAGAGAGTGAAAGAAACATAAAACAATTTAAGAGAATGAAAAAGTGAAAAATTTTAAATGAGCAAAGTAAAAAAAGTTTCAAGAGAATGAAGAAAATAGAAAAAGTTTAAAAGAGATAAAGAAAAAGAGAAATTAAAATTGAATGAAAGGAAAAATTATTAACTAACTGAAAAAAAAAAAAAAACGAAAAAGTTCTAACAATGAAAGAGAAAAATTCTAGTCAAATAAAGGAAAGAGAAAAATATAACTGAAAGAAAAAATTTTTTTAAATTCTAAGTTTGGAAAGAAAAAAATTCCGACTGAAGAAAAAATGCTTAAAAATTCCATATTTGGAAAGAGATAACGATCAGACAGTGAAAAAAAAAAGAGTGAAAAATGAAAACAAAAAGAATAAAAGAAAAATGAAAAGCATAAAATTTTGCAAGAGGAGGAAACAGAAAGATCTATGCTGGTCAGGTCAAAAATGAGGTCACGCTGACCCAAGGGTCGATAACTCTGTCCAGAATCCAAGCCACTTCTGACACAGCCATATTTGATTTAGTCATTCACAAAAACCTGTTAATTTATTTTCAACCGCTTCAGTCTGGCTTTGTGTCATGTCTCACTAATAAATCACTTAGTTTCATCACACATGTAGTTTTATTGATTAAATTTTTTCTACTACAGGTCTGGACTTGGACTGAAGAATAAATTCTAATATAAATTACCATAAATACTGCCCTTGATATTATTATTTAGAAGATTAGCTTAGCCTGGCACAAGGCCATAATAGTGTAGCACCAAAAAAGTGCACTCCCTGCACTAACAAATTGGTCTACAAACAATGTTACTTACCACTTACTTCTCCTTGGCAGGAGGGGTGATTATTTATAATTGTTTACAAAGTTTAAATTATTTTGCTACAAAAAATAAAATAACAAACATGTTTGAATAAAATTTGTAATAAAATAATAGTAATAAGGATAAATGATTTGTTTTTTTTTACAGTTTATCGATCCTTTGCTAGGTATTTATAGCCAGAAAATATTTTTAGATTGCAAGAATTTTTTTTCAGATAATAATGATTTAGTGATACAAGTTTTACTAAATTAACCCATACATGGGGAGAAGAAGTGCATTCATACCTTTCCCAAGGGTATCTGCATATGTGAATATAACAAACCCAACTGGAATTGGAACTCAGCTCTCTGATCTCCAATTCCGAGCCATTATCCATTAAACTACCTGCACATACAAGCTTACAGCACCTGGTATTCCTAAGTGGTTACCTATCTAGTTACTGACCAGGCTCAACATTGCTTAATTTCAATGATCATACAGAACCGGTATTTCAATGTGACATGTCCATAGCCCAATAATAAAGAAGAATGTATTGACCCACCAGTGTGTTGTAACAAAAAAATAAACAACAATAATAAGGTGGAATAAAATTAGTAATAAAATAATAATGATGAGTATATTAATCTTGAGGGTTACAATAAATGGTAACAGCAATATTAGCCATTTGCTTATAAGGAAACATTTGGCATTCATTGACTGAGCAGCCAGTGGCAATGTCAGGTGAAATTTATAAAATTGACTCTGAGAGTTGTGATAAAAAGAAACAACAATGCGATGGTACAAAATTAGCAATAAATTAATAGTGATAATGAAGAGCATAAGCTATCAACACAATATTAATAGTGAAAATATTTTATCAACAAAAGTTCAGAAAATAATTGTTTTAATATTGAGACAATATAACATCTACAAAACTGAAAAGGACTTTGGCAAATGCTAAGAATGCCATACTTTTTCTTTTATTAAACCAAAAGTATTACCAGGTTTCATATCTCAGAGCCAGGAAAGAATTGAATGCTGGCTTAAGTCCAACTGGCTTAGGTCAAAGCTGAAATGGGCAAAATATGTAAAAACAGTATCCAACTCTGGCTAACAGTCATAGTGACATATTGGTCAATAATATTTCTTTCCTGATGGTTGTTATCTACAGAGGAAAATGAGGTTTAGATACAGGCAAATTTATATCATTAGGGAAAATAACTTTAGTGTTAGACTGACTACAATGGAATGGGGTATGATTTGATGTCAAGATTTGGCTAACATCTAAAATACTTGTTACTTGTATTTAATATCCAGTGCTTAGAACATTTATGAAACTTGGAATGAATAGAGAAAAATTCAGAGAATGAAAAATATTTCACAATAAAAAGGTTAATTGCATATCTGAAAATAATATATGTTTACACACCCAGGTACATTTTATTTTATAGAGAAAGTGAGAGAGGTAGATAGCTAGACACAGACTAAGTATATTATCTGGGTTATATGCCTTGCTATTCAGACAAGCATGGTCATCTCGGTTGCTAAACTCACAACTTATCTGTTGTATCTCCAGCCTTCTTCAGGTGTCTGTCTGTTGTCTTATTCAGTAAATTTCTCAAAATTTTGAACCAAAACTTTTATTGAGTTCATGGAGGGTAGATTATTCCCATTGTGCTTTCCATGCTCATGGGAGATAACTCATATCAGTTAGGGGAGGTAAA